AGATTTTGTGCGCACGCAGCTGCAGCTGCATGTGTGCATGTGCATGCATGCGCTCGAACTGCATATTCGTTACCGACCCGTGGGTTTTCCTCTGCCCCGACGACGCCCTGTGGCGTCCTGCTTCCCGTATGCTAGTTTTAGCACGTGTGGAACAATTTAGGGCAGAACGATAGGTGTGATGGGAGCGACAAGCAAAGCTGTCGTGCTCAAATGGAGCGCGCTCAAATGGATGTTCGGCGACATGTTGACAACGCCACACACAAGCAACTCCACAGACTAAAGCGGGTGATGCGCATATAGACGTGTACATGATTTTTGAGGACATGACCTGGTGTATGGTCCCTTTCCTCTAAGTGGCCGCACAGCCACGGGCGGCTAATGTCCGGACACACCATCAAACATCAACCGCCTGGCAAACTGTGCTTAATCAAGCGACATAGCATATCAAAGTGCGGCATCCTCGATATGCATTCGATTACAGCGCATACAATGTCGAAAAAGCCGACAACAACTCAGAGCGGCACCGGCACCGGCTCATACAACGACGGCTCGTACAACCACTCCAACCAGCGAACAAACATTCCAAATCGCGACACGACAGCATCTCACGCAGCTGTAATATCGTGAACAACGGAAAAGAAAAACAGCTTGTCCATGCATTCCGCCTACCGTTTCCATAGCTTCAGTTCCCAATGCAGCCATCAGAAACGCGACCGTGCAACGAAGTGTGTCAACTCATGCACGGCGAAGAAATCTGTAGCACCAGGCGTCATAAAAAGGTGTGAAGGCAGCGCGCACATTGGTTGCTCCGTGTGTGTGTGCGCGCGTAGTCCGCCGCAGTGTGTACGTGACCTCCACACTGCACCCATACATGGCTTCCACGTGATGCCCCAACCGCCCAATCGGCATATCTACGCTAAGAACCCTCATACCAAAGCCTGCACCGAGGCACGGCCCATACGTTCATGAATTAAACATAATTATTCTACCTGCTACCGTCCCCTATGTAAAAGCCCTATGGACAACAAACCATATAAGCCCCCCTTTCCCCCTTTTGGCAGATGGACTGCAGCAACAGCAAACCAGCATTCGTGGGCAGCGAGAGGAGCGATAGCATACATACATGAGGTAAGGTGGGCCTGCTGGCAACACAAGAAATAGGATGCCATAGCATCTGTCGTGGGGCTACCGTCAGGGGGGATGGGTAAACATTGAAGTGGAGACCGAGGTGAAGCGGGTTGGTTATGAGGGCGGGTTTCAGGGTATCACGTTGGCCCTTCCCTGCGGCCCCCTAGCCTAATGCCGTCCTCCCCTGCGGCCCCACCTAGCCTAACGCTGTCCTCCCCTGCGGCCTCCCAGCCCAACGCCGTCCTCCCCTGCGGCCCCCTAGCCTAACGCCGTCCTCCCCTGCGGCCCCGCCTAGCCTAACGCCGTCCTCCCCTGCGGCCTCCCAGCCCAACACCGTCCTCCCCTGCGGCCCCCTAGCCTAACGCCGTCCTCCCCTGCGGCCCCCTAGCCTAACGCCGTCCTCCCCTGCGGCCCCCTACCCCAACGCTGTCCTCCCCTGCGGCCGCCCTAGCCCAACGCCGTCCTCCCCTGTGGCCCCCTAAACCCTAACGCCGTCCTCCCCTGCGGCCCCCCTAGCCCAACGCCGTCCTCCCCCTGCGGCCCCCTAGCCCATTGCCATCCTCCCCTGCGGCCCCGTAGCCTAACGCCGTCCTCCCCTGCGGCACCCCAGCCCAACGCCGTCCTCCCCTGCGGCCGCCCTAGCCCAACGCCGTCCTCCCCTGCGGCCCCCTAAACCCTAACGCCGTCCTCCCCTGCGGCCCCCCAGCCCAACGCCGTCCTCCCCCTGCGGCCCCCTAGCCCATTGCCGTCCTCCCCTGCGGCCCCGTAGCCTAACGCCGTCCTCCCCTGCGGCCCCCCAGCCCAACGCTGTCCTCCCCTGCGGCCGCCCTAGCCCAACGCCGTCCTCCCCTGTGGCCCCCTAACCCTAACGCCGTCCTCCCCTGCGGCCCCCCTAGCCCAACGCCGTCCTCCCCCTGCGGCCCCCTAGCCCATTGCCATCCTCCCCTGCGGCCCCGTAGCCTAACGCCGTCCTCCCCTGCGGCACCCCAGCCCAACGCTGTCCTCCCCTGCGGCCCCCTAGCCTAACGCCGTCCTCCCCTGCGGCCCCCTAGCCGGACGCTGACCTGCCCTACGCGGATGCTGCGGGGGGTGGATGAGGGAAGGGTGGCGGGTTTAGAGGGCAGCATTGCGCTGGGCAACACAGGGGAGGGCCGGCGCTGCCGGGGGCGGATGAGGGAAGGGTGGTGTTGTGCTGGGCAACGCAGGGGAGGGCGGCGTTGCGCTGGGCAACGCAGGGGGGGGCCGGCGATGCGGGGGGCGGATGAGGGAAGGGCGGCGCTGCGCTGGGCGGCGCAGGGGAGGGCAGTGTTGCGCTGGGCAACGCAGGGGGGGGGGCACTGCCGGGGGCAGATGAGGGAAGGGTGGCGCTGCGCTGGGCGGCGCAGGGGAGGGCGGCGTTGGTGGTGGTGGCAGCAGTGGTGGCGGCAGCGGTGGCAGTGGCAGCGGTGGCAGTGTTGGCAGCAGTGGTGGCAGTGGCGGCAGTGGTAGCAGGAGCCGTAGCAGTGGCAGCGGTGGCAGTGGCAGCGGTGGCGGCAGCAGTGGAGGCGGTGGCAGTGGGCTGGGCCGCATTCATAGTCGGTGTGTCCTCTGCCTCCAGCTGATGTGTGGCCATCATGGCCCCACACCGCTTCCCTGGGGGCTGCAGCCGCTCGAATGCAGTGGCCTTGGCCAGTTGTACAGGTGTCATTTCTGGACTTGTGGCACTCAATGGCGGCCGCTTCAGTTTAAGCTCCTTGATTGCAGAAGCCACCGGAGCAAGCTCTGCACTCCGGCGCAAAGCTTTGGCCATGGCTGTGCAGCTTGCCAGCTTCACTGAAGGTGTTGAGCTGTGTATGGCTTTGATGGCCTTCAGCCTGCAAAGGAGCATGCTGTCGTTGGTTGTATATTGCTTTAGATGTGGGCGCTCTTTCAACCACCCATGGACAACCCTCTTCAGAAGGGGGGTGGCCTGCTTCTGCACCTCCTCTGCCACCTGGTTGACCACCATCAAGTTCTGGCCGCCACCAGCCTTCCGGACCTCTGCCTCATTGGACACCAGGATGAACCTCAAGCTACCCATGCCCTCTATGAACACGGTTGTGTCCCACACTGCCCAACGCTGCATGTAGAAAATCATGGGCAACAAGGTTCGACAGTAGTTTTCAGCATGTGGTGCTATTGCTAGGTGCAGGTGCTCTTATAGGGGCAGAGGCGGATTATCTGTGTTATTGCTTGGGGGATACAAAGCAGCTGTGTGTGGTGACCATGTGGCCAGCACAGGATGCAGGTATAACGTTTGACAATCGCCATCAGTATGTGTGTGGATGTGTGTGTAAGTGTGTGTAAGTGTGTGTATGTGTGTGTATGTGTGTATGTGTATGTGTATGTGCATGTGCATGTGTGTGTATGTGTGTATGTGCGTGTGTGTGTGTGTGCGTGTGTGTGTGTATGTGTATGTGTGTATGTGCGTGTGTATGTGTGTGTGTGTGTGCATGTGTGTGTGCGTGTGTGTGCATGTGCGTGTGCGTGTGGATGTGTGGATGTGTGTATGCGCGTGTGTCTGTGTGTATGTGTGTATGCGTGTGCATGTGTGTGTGTGTGTGTAAATGGCCACATGCATGTGTTGTGTCGTGGGCCAAGTCATACTTCCACGGGACTACTAAAAGCTGAACCTGTAGCCTCTCCCACAACAAGGGTGATAATACCCTTTCATGATCTCCAAAAACAGCTGCAGAGTGGTTGTGGCCCCCAAAAGAGGACTCACTGTGTGTGGTGGGAAAGATGTGGGTAGTTTCTTCTTCTTGGCCATGATGGCCACTCTTTCATGATCACCAGCAGGACCCATAGCTATATGGATGACCACACCTTGGGGCCTTGTGGGTCAACACATAGGAGCGCAAAAGCAGATGCGATCGCAGTCAGGATA